AGTCCTGGAAGGTGATGATTTAATGGGTAATCTTGAGAGGTGGGAGAACGCCGAGCGACTGTGTCAGGCGAGGGCTCCTGCCCTGGAGAAGCTAACCACAGCCAGCGCTCTCGCCGAACATTCCACGGGAAGCTGGCTTCACTGCTGCTCCCTGCAGAATCGGAAAGTAGTAACCTGCATCCTTTCGTTTCTGAACCTGGGTTTATTTGAGTTGGAAGGGAACTTTGAAAACAAACTTAAGATGTGAAGCGTAAGACTTCAAGGGGAAACTAAAAATAGCAAAGTGGGATAATCCTTTCCCACTACTGCTGTTAGCAGTATTTATGCCAGTCGGCCTTGGGAAGGAGGAGAAATAATGCCTTTCTCTGGAAGAATGTGGGAGGATTTGCGGTGGCAGATGGCCCGTGACCCCACGCTCAGGCACACACCATCTTTAATAACATCTGTTTATGCAGAATGTTCTCATTTTCTTACCTCTGACCTGGGCAGAGAGCGGTTCTGAGACATTTGTTTTTTTTACATTTTTCACAATTCTCCCACATTTTGCCTGATGAAATATTTCAGGTCTCATGTCCAGTCACTTTGGGAAAAGCAAGGCCAATGGCTCCTGGGGGCAGGACCACTGCCTTTAACGAGGGCCCAATCACGCTCCCCCACTGAGGTGCAGGCCCCGCACGACACCCTCGGCGCTGCACATTCATTACAGCTTGTCCCTAACAAGTGGATGAGATCAGGTTTTTTTTTTTTTTTTTTAAGATTTTTATTTTTAAGTAATCACGACACCCAGCGTGGGGCTCTAACTCAGAGCCGGGAGATCAAGAGTCACAGGTCTTCTCTGACTGAGCCAACCAGGTGCCCCAAGATAGATTTTGGGGAAAATTCTTGACTGATGCAGAAGTGGAGGCTCCGCGGAAGCCTTGAGCAGGTCCACACAGCTAGCAAGGGGCAGGGCCAGAGTTCAAAGTCAGGTGCACTTGAGCCAACTTCGGCACTGGACCACCACAATCCATATATTCATTATATGGAGAGAGAGAGCATGCGTGCAACCACTGTGTACCAGACGCTGCATGAGGAACTGGCTCCAGGGGTCGACGAGCAAAAATGCTGTTGCTCTCATGGCCTTACATGCTACAGTGATGCAGGTAAGAAGTAAAGAGGGGCATCTGGTAGCTCAGTCAATGGGGCATACGACACTTGATCTCAGGGTTGAGGGTTTGAGCCCCACCCTGGGTGTAGAGATTCTTAAAAAAATTTAATAAAAATTTAAAAATAAAGAAAAGGGGGTATCTGGGTGGCTCAGTCAGTTAAGCATCTGCCTTTGGCTCAGGTCACGATCCCAGGGTCCTGGAATCGAGCCTCGCATCAGGCTCTCTGCTCAGCATGGAGCCTGCTTCCCCCTGTCTCTCTGCCTCTACCCCCACTTGTGCTTACTTTCTCTCTCTCTCTAATAAATTAAAATCTAAAAAGAAAAAAGGAAGGAAGGAAGGCAAGAAGGAAAGAAGAAAAGCAGAGGGAGGACGTGGTGGGGTGGGGAGGACAACCTGTGCTTTAGATGGGGAGTAAGAGAAGCCTTTCTGATGAGGTGATATTTGAGTAGAGACAGATTCAAGTGGTGGGTGCACCTAAATGGCTCACTGAGAGGAAAGCATCGGCAGCAGAGGCAGTAGCACAAGGTGGGTGCCTACACCAACGGTGCTCCTGGGCAAATGAGGAGGGAGCCAGAGGAGACGAAGTCAGAGCTGGTTATTTCTATTGTTGAAAGGTACATTCACACAAAACAATATTGACCTGTTCTCCTAACGGTCACAGACAAAAGTATTGGTTAAAATCCCATAGGGTGCAAGTAGCAGAAAACCCAACTCACAGTAGCTAAATAATAAGGCATGTTATCATCTCACATTTTAAAAAAAAGTCTGAAAGAAAAGTTTCAGCTAATTCAGCAGCTCAGTGGCCTCCTGAATGACATGGTTTTTTACTATCTTTGCGTTATGTAAACCCCAGCATACTGGTCTTGTCCTACCACCTTAGCTCCCTTCATGGTTCCAGCCATCACATGCTCACACAACTACATCCAGTGGCAGAAAAAGAGTTCTTCGGTTTCTTAAGTCTCTCTTTAGGAAAAAAGAACTTTTCCCCTAAACTCCTTGGTACCCTTTCCCTCAAATCTCATTGCCCAAAGTGATGTCCCATATCAAGACATAAATTAGTCATTGCTAAGAGGAAATGGATCATTCCAAATAGTTTAAGCTAATTCGAGCCCACCTCCTGGAGCTGATATGATGTTCTCGGAAGCATATGGCCCCTGAAGAGGAAAGATACCTGTTAGGGAGAGGGGAGTAGTCAGGTGGCAATTGGTAGACATTGCTAGTTGTTTGACAAATATCCTTTCCCTTCTTTCTTATTAATAGAATTCTAGAATTATTCAAGATGCCATTAAGCCCAACTAAAAAACAAAACAAAACAAAACAAAACTCAGTATCCCTAATTCCCTCTGCTAGCATGCATATCTGTTACCTCCTCCTCTTCTTTTCAGGTGGACTATGTCCCCATTCTTGCGATGGAGCAGCCATCACAGGATCATGGAGATGACCGCCATGTGCAAAGGATGGTAGACCAGGAAGACAGAAGGAGTTTAAGTCCTTGGTCGCTGCCTGGAATCAAGGACTTTTTATTGCGTGAAGGGAAAAACAATCCTATTGGTTGACTCATCATTTGATAGCCCTTGCCACACACAACCAAGACAGCTTGGGGTTAGAAAACCAGGGGAGGGGCGCCTGGGTGGCTCAGTGGGTTAAGCCTCTGCCTTTTCGGCTCTGGTCATGATCTCCGGGTCCTGGGATCGAGTTCCGCGTCAGGCTTTCTGCTCAGCGGGGAGCCTGCTTCCTCCTCTCTCTCTGCCTGCCTCTCTGCCTACTTGTGATCTCTCTCTCTCAAATAAATAAAATCTTTAAAAAAAAAAAAAAAAGAAAGAAAGAAAGAAAGAAAAGAAAACCAGGGGAATCTGGTACATAGAGGAGCCTGGGCGTTCATGTGATGCAAACTCATAATCTAATCCAGTCCACTCAGCACAGCTCAGGGGGAAATGTCCTTCTCAACATACCAGAGTATAGAGTAGAGCTGCAGGATTCATGCATTAACTTACCAAATAAGCAGAGAGAGAGAGAGAGGGAGAGAAAGCCCTTTGCTGGCTTTCAACAAACTTCCAACTTCAACAACCTTCCAAGTTCAGACGAGACCTTAGCATTTGACTCATGCACAGAGAAGAAAAGTCAGAGCCGAAAGCTAAGAGAAACAAGGAATGTCCATCCATGACTTCTGCGCTTCCAGGAACCCTGGTCCTGGCTGATGCCCGCTGACCCTCTGCCCTTGATCTTTTTCCTCATAACAGAAACTCACATGCAAGTCTGGAACTAACTTTTATATTCAGTGAGTGGCTGAAGAAACATATTGCATCCTCTAAGATGGCGGGCAAGACAACACAGTTGTCCACAGCGTGGATTTATTGAGAGGGTTTCCTGAGGTTGAACTTCAGAGAATTTAAGAGAAATCAGAAAATGCCTGTGCTGCCTTCGATCTACATTCTATTTAATAACCACCATCACTTAAGCCAGCTAACATTTTAATTTTTTTTAAGCCATCTCTACACCCGGTGTGGGGCTCAAACTCATGGCCCCCAGATCAAAAGTCACATGCTTTCCAACTGAGCCAGCCAGGTGCCCTGCCAGCTAACATTTTATGAGCACTTAGTATCTGCCATGGATGATTTGACACATCTTATATGCATTTTTCTCATTTACACTTCACAAGTCTATGAAAAGACCATTATTATCCCCATTTCACTGAAGAGGAAGCTCACACAGAGCGTGGCTAAGGAACGTGTCCAAAGTCACACAGCTTTTAAGGATCAGCTCTGGGATGCATATACGGGCCATCGGATCCCCCACACTCACACGTATATCACACATAAAATCTGTGAGTCCATTCAAACTCCCTGAAAGGCATTCTGAAGGCAGTTCCTAAATTTAGAGTCATTGACTCCCTTTATTTCAACATGGCACATTCAAGACAGCAATCCCAGGAAGACAGTCCATTGAGAAGACAGCTAACTATCTTCTCATGATTCAAGCACCAACATCTTTGGTAGTAAGAACTGAAGACATGATCTATTTCTTATAAAACACCAGTGGCTTTCCTGTGAAATGTCCTGCCCACGATATTTCAAAATGAGTCTCTAAACTTCTGCCTCCTGCCTCTGAGGAGTTTATGATCCAACGGGAGGTGAAATCGAACTATCTCCTGTTTGATTCTGCCTCCTGAGTGCTTCTGATATGGCAGGGAAATTCACTGTGAATCCTCACCACTAGCCTCTGTCTGAGGATAACAGCATCATCCTAGTTTTTATTATTTTTTTAAAGATTTTTAAAAATTTATTTGACAGAGAGAGCACAAGCAGGGAGAGGGAGGGAGAGAAGCGGGCTCCCCACTGAGCAGGGATAGCCCGTGGGACTCAATCTCAGGACCCTGAGATCATGACCGGAGCCCAAGGCAGACGCCTAACTGACTGAGCTACCCAGATGCCCCAGCATCATTCTGATTTTTTTTTTCATCCAGATTTTTAAATGAAGAAACAGACTCCAAGACACTGAGGAGGCTGCTCATCGTCTCAAAACTAGTGTGTGCAGGAGTCAGGGCCCCACCGCGAGCATGAGGCTTGGCCCTACACAAGGACACCTAGCGCAGAAAGGTGAGTTTCCGCTGAGTTCTTCCACGTACCATGCGGGGGCCCCCCTGAAGACGTCCCGTCCAGCCTTCAACTCAAAGATGCAGCACCTACCCAGCGGGAGCACCTTTTTTTTTTTTAAGATTTTATTTATTTATTCGACAGAGAGGCAGGGGGGTGGTGGGAGGAGGAGACTCCCTGCTGAGCAGAGAGCCAGATGCGGGGGCTCCATCCCAGGACCCTGGGATCATGGCCCAAGCCAAAGGCAGAGGCTTTAACCCACTGAGCCACCCAGGTGCCCCAGGAGCACCTTTTTCTAATGAGCACAAAGGTACCAAATGGACTGGTTTGGGCCTGGCCAACTAAAATGGAGTCATAGATGCCAAAACATATGTTCCTAAATACCTCCAAGGCAAAGATGAGGACAGGACTGAGGTTTCTCTTCATTACCAGGCTCCTAGTACTTCATTTTTCTCAACTTTAAGGGGGGACAATAACAGCATCTACCTTATCTGGTTGATGTGAGCGTTTAATGAGATAGTCCTTGCAAAGCCCCAGAAACAGCGCCGGACACACGGCCATCGGTAGGCCATGATTATTCTTCACTATAAATGTTATCTTCGTTGATTTTCCGTTATTTTTGTACATGCTTGAAACCTATCACTGGCCCTCCCTTCCTCCCTCCCTAAATTTCTGACTTGCACATTGTGCATTAGAACCGTGTCACTTTCACTTGTTTTCTCTTAAGCAAAAAATGTGCAGATCATCCCAGGAAACCTTCAGCTCCTGCCTTTTGAGTTACTGTTGTAATGCAAAAGGACCCAAGTTTAGGATCAAAGTCTACCTTTTGGACAATGCAGTCTAAAGGCAAAGCAGGGAAATCCCATTCTTTTGTTTCCTGCTCTGCTCCAGACCAGCTGTGTCATCGTTGTTTTCCATTCTGTGATTCAGTCTTCCTTTCTGTGAACGAAGGGGCACACCCCTGGAGTAAAAGAGAGCCTGTGATTGTCTAGGATTATTAACTCTGTCTTGCAGAATCCCGTCCCCACCCACTCACAGCAATCTCCTGTGGTCCTCAAAGATCAAGAGCTGTACAGTCACCGCGGTAATAAACAAGGTATAAATAGACAAGTTGCTGGTGGGGCTTGCAAACGCTCCTTGGTGTGTCCCTGATGACAAAGGTAAAATGAGTCCCTTCCCCAAAGTCTGAAGTAGGTATTTTAGGGTGAATCATGCTTAAGTAAACCTCTTCTTTGGATTTTATTGTGCTCTAGGGATTTTTCCACAACCTTGAGCATAAGAGGAACCCCAGAAATGCCTTGAACCCCACCCACATTAAAACCTGATAAAAACTATGCCTGCCTTCACTGAAAGCATTGGGCAAAAGAGACTGGGAATCCTAACTGCTCCCTAGCTAATTGTTTCCATGCGCGGGCTAACCTGTATGCTCCTCTCTCCTCCTCCATAACGTGAAGATTGCTGCTTCTGTCTGCCTCTAGGTTGCTATGAGGATCTAATAAAAAACAATATGATAATAATGCTTGGAAAAGGACAACAACAAAATCTAGATTGGGATCATGTCAAAGGACGTATTCTTTATCTCATGAATAAAGACAAGATTTCTTCTAAGACTCTCCTTTGATAGACACAGATTCCAAAAAGGGGGGAGGGGGTACAAAGAAACTTTTCTAGGACTATGCTGTAAATCTGACCGCCTCGGGGAGACGGACAAACTTATACCAACTAGTGGTTTCTCCAGTAAAATTATAAATCCTCACCTTGAAAAATAATGTGTCGTCCCCACAAATCCTAATCAAGATGCACCCATGCTGGTCATTTACTGTTTGGGCGCTATGATGAAATGTCCAGTAATTAAGCCTGCCTCTCTCCAGCTCTCGGACTTATAGCTGGAAAAGCTGCTAGGCCCGGGCTTCGCCAGCAGCCACGTTTTGTTGAATTCCTGGTGTCTGTGCAAATAGAGATGGCAGTATTCCTCTGGGTCACCATCCTCTCCATCCCCAGGCTCCAGACACACTGCCCATTTCTTATCTAACAGACTGATAAGGAATAAATTCAACAAAAGTAACAATCCAATGAAACGTCTACTAAAAGATAATCTGAAAGTAAGAAAGCAATCAGGTTGCTACACTAGATTGACAAAAGGCCAGGGGTGCCTGGGTGGCTCACTCAGTTGTGCATCTATCTACCTTTGGCTCAGGCCGTGATCCCCAGGGTCCTGGGATCAGGTCCGGGGATCAGATCCTGGGATCGGGTCCCCGTGTCAGGCTCTCTGCTGAGCGGGGAGCCTGCTTCTCCCCGCTTATGCTCTCCGTCTCTCTCTCTCTCTCTCTCTCTCTCTCTCTCAAATAAATAAAATATTTTTAAAAAATAAAAACAAAAGATCAACTATTTTGTGCCTGATCTAAAGGACCCTCCCAGATCTATCGCATCCCTGTCTTTGTCTCCGAAGAAAGAGATGTGATTTTCTTTTTAATAGTCAAGGGTTTCATTTGATACCTTAAGCTAGTAGGATGTGTATTTTGAAAGATAAATTTAAAAACCACCATTTGGGATGCTTCCTATTTCTCAAAAAAAAAAAAAAAAGAAGAAGAAGAAGCTTAATAACTTTAAGCAGAGTATGAGAGAGAAGAAGGTGGGGGCATTCATTTCCCTTTTGTTCAACAGCAAAGTTTCAATAACCGTTTTAAGAAATCTACCGTTTGGGGACAAGGTGAAGTTCTGTCAGTCTTCCAAACATGATTTAACTAAAGAATGCCCAAGCCAGGAAGTCCTTTGTGCCTGTGGCCTCCTCATTCTTAGAAGGAAAAGGGCTTTCTGTTTATTATAAAGCTGATTCCTTGGGGGGTGGGGGTTTGTTTGCTTTTGGAAGTTAATTTTATTTGGGTTTTGTTTTGTTTTGTTTAGATTACACAAGCATAGGCAGAATGCTGCCGTATCTATGATTGAAAATGGAAAGTTGCCCAGCTCTCTCTGTGTCATGTGTCACTTCCCCGGCCCTGCGTGTTTCTCCTCTACTTCCTGTGTTAATGGTGAGCGTATCCTCCTTATTCTTTTTCTATATTTTTACACAAATACAAATGTCTATATTTTACACACACTCACTCACACACGCGCAGATTCATGCCTTTTTTTTTTTTTTTTTTTTTTTAGGAAACCATAGAGTCGTCACCTGTCTACAACTGTGTTTTAAACAACAGCCTTTGTGAACCTGCAGAGCCCATCTCACGCCTCCAAGCCTTTTTGAAGACTCTCTTGCTCACTTAGAACCACGTTATTTTTCCACTGCCTTCTAGAGGCCTCTTTACATCTTCTCAAGGAAGCTTTTAAGCCCACGAGAGAAGGCTCACTTCCTCTCTTGCCTGGAGGAAATAATGCTTTCACGCTTTGGAAACAGCATTACTATACCCCACTGCCCTATTCCAGTCTGAGCACCCAACAGACAAATTATACTTTTCCTGTTCGCTGTGGCTTTGCGTTCTCGGGACTAGAGCAGCCCCCTGAGCCAGAAAACAGTAATAATTTTTACAAGGTGCTGTGCCCTGATGGAGCCAGAGGACAAACCGCTCAGCTCCACCCCTCCTGCCTGGAAAAGCATGTTTTCTTTCCCCTGCCTGGTTACTAGCGGGTTTTGTCACCTGATTCATAAAGATGAGATTGCTAAAAACAATAGGCAGCCATAAGGCTCCAGGAAATATAATAACACACAGCTCCTTTCTGAGTTGCGTGTGTCTTGCGTGTGTGCGTGTGTGCGTGCACGTGTGTTTTGTATGCACATTTACAGCAGCAGCAAAGATGTTCCGCCCAGGAGAGGCAGGGATCTCACCGGGCAGCACGTAAACCAGCCCAGGGGATGGAACCCGGCCCCCTCAGCTTCATTTACTCCTTTATTCATCCCAGTCAACAAGCCTCAGGGTTACAGAGGCTCCTCAGGGATCAGATTCCTGGATTCAAAGCCGTGCTCTGCCGGGCACTCGCCCTGCGACTTAGTCTCCTAGTCTCCATATTCCACAGCTGCAAAGGAAAGAAAAATACATGTGCAAATCTCTTACCCAAATCCTTAGAACCGAATAAGGTTAGGAATTCAGAATGCTCAGATTTTTAAAAACGCGATATGGTGCTTCTGCTGTGTTGCACAGGATCTCCAGCGGGGCCCCAGGGCAGCACTCTGGAATCGGCCTCATCTGTGTGCCTGCAGAGAAACATAGGACAGTTGGATTCATGAGATAAAGATAGACAATCAAGACCCTCACATCATTCAAATCTTATCTTATAGCCACGTGAGTCAGGTCAGATCATTTTGCTGCCAGAGTATTTTTTAAAAGGATGTCTTTTGGAATTCAGGGTTTGTGGATCCTGAATGCATCTCCTTTAGGGAGTGGTAAGGAGGATTCAATGGGACAATACCTATAAAATGTACTTGAGAAATGCTCAGGAAGTATCTGCTGAGCACCCACTGTGGCCCGACTCTGCACCAGGGCAGCTGAGCGATAACCCCAGCGAGGTCAGCACATGTTTTCCAAAAAGGGTCAATATCCTCATTTTGTGGACTACTTGATCTCTATCACAACTGAACTCTGCTGCGGTAGACCAGAAGCAGCCACGGACAATACATGAGAGAATGAACACGTCTGTGTTCCAATAAAACTTTATTTACAAAAAGGGACAAGAGGCCAAATTCAACCCACACACTGTAGTTTATGAGCCCCTGATCAAGACAGACATGACTAGCTCTTCACGGTGCTTGCATTGGAGGGCAGGAGACAACCAACTCATCAACTAATAAAATAAATGTCCAATCTGATTGTGATAGATAATAAAAGGAAATACAATGTGCATTTAGCACAGAGCCCATCCTGCTCGTGCATGAGTAGGTTGCAAGCCAGAGTCTGGGGTAGCCGCCTCTGGTTGGCTGGCTAGTCCGGCCAAGGTCCAAACCTTCACTGCAAGGGGCACTGGAAATCAATTTTCTCCATTTTCCATTTCTGCGGTGAAAGGCGGGCTCTCCAAGGAGAGTTGCTCTCCAGATTTAGGAAGTAGTTCAGGTGGTGGATGAATTATAAAAAAGGATAGACACGCTATACCTAGTAAGGACACCTCATCTCAGAACTTTCTCTGCTGGACACAGAAGAGCACGTCAATTTAAGTCAGTCTATACTGTCCAAAGACCACAGTTAAATAGTTTTCCAATGTTCTCATCTAAGTGTAAAATTTGAACCTCTGATGGGTGTTCTTAACTTCCTAGAGAAGCCTAAGATCAAAGATTTGGGGCACCTGGGTGGCTCAGTGGGTTAAGCCTCAGCAGGGAGCCGGCTTCCTCCTCTCTCTCTGCCTGCCTCTCTGCCTACTTGTGATCTCTCTCTGTCAGATAAATAAATAAAATCTTAAAAAAAAATTTTTTTTCACCCAGACGCCAGGAATATTACCATCAGTGTGGGCCGTGCTGCCCGTGGCTACTGCTCTCCCAGGCTCCGCCTCGGTCTTTTAGGAAAAAGGACGTCAGCTCCGGATCTTGCCTGAAAATCAGAATGCGGGTCACAGCAGATAGTTTACTGAGATCTCACGATGCATGGATGCTGGGCTGTTTCACCTGCCTGGCTTCCTTACATGCCACGAGCTCCATTGTGCCCATTTTGCAGATGCCGCGACTTTTTTTTTTTTTTTTTTTTTTTTGCCTCCAGAGAGCAAAACCAGGAGCGCCCTAGTCGCCCCAGGGGCGGCGCAGCTGGAGAGCATTAGTACTTACCCAGGTTCACACAGCTAGGAGGCAACACCCAGGTTCGCTGAGAGCAGGGCCTAGGATACGTTTTCTCCTCTATCTGTGCTCATTTCCCGGCCTGTGCCTCTGCCGCGTGGAGTTAGAAACTTACCTAAGCACGGAAGCCAGAGGGCTGACGGCTCACCAAACGAGACGATTTTAAATATATCATCTCGCTTCGTGCAATCACCCTGGAGCAGACACAGGTGGTTACCTCTCATTACAGAGTCTGTCCTTGAAAATACTTCAATATAATCAGTGCGAGAAGCCGTCCGCACGCAGTTCAGTTAGTGGAAACTCAGCAGGAGGCGGTGAGCTAACAGGCGATGGAGAATGCACTGTTGGGGGATAGCTAGCCAACCAACACACCACAGGAAGGACCACACTCCGGCAACATTATGACACATGCTTCTTGCAATTCAGAAATAGGGGTTTTACTGCTGAGACCGGTGACGGATGATAACTAGCCTGATGACCTTAGAAATGGGTCTGCATTGGTAAAATTAAAGATATTCAAGACATGGGAGTTGACTAGAATGCATTATAGGATACAGCAATCCGTCCTTGACCTACACCCTTCACCACTCCTTCCCTGACTGGTCCCATGTCCAGCCACTCGTTAGGTTTTCTGACCACGTCATGCCGACCAGAAAGCATGGAATCCTGCCTTTGGAAATACTGTTACACCTGCTGTGAGTGAACCTTTCGCTCAGGGTGTGACCAGAGCCCCAGAAAGAATATCAAGCTTCCAGAATAGGCTTTATAAGCTGTTTTGGAATAAAAGCAAAGCCTGCTTTGCTGATGAATGTTTGCCTATAAGAGTAGCAAAATTTGGGCAGACTAGATTTTATGATAACTTGTAGCTAGGCTGTGGGGGAGTGCCTACATCTGCCAGAAATAACCTAAGAATGGTTCCGTGTTGACCTGGCTTAGATTACAACAGTTTGCCTGGTACCCCATGCCCTACCCAGGCCTGCCTGCCTACAAGAATCCCTACTGGTTCAGCTTTTAGTCAGTAGTTCCTCCAGAGAAGATAGGTCCAGGACCAGGAGATGAACCATGATTAGCCTACACCAGGCATCAGCAGACGATAGCCCACAGGTTAAATCTGGCCCTCCACCTGGTTTTGTAAATAAAGTTGTATTAGAGTACAGTCCCACCCACTTATCTATGTGTTTTCTATGGCGTCTTCCATGCCACTGAAATAGCAACTTGAGTAATTGATTGCCACAGGAACTGCATGGCCCACAAAAGCTAAATTATTTGTTATCTGGCCCTTTATAGAAAGTGTTTTTCAGGGGCGCCTGGTGGCTCAGTGGGTTAAAGCCTCTGCCTTCGGCTCAGATCATGATCCTAAGGTCCTGGGGTCGAGCCCCCCATCATGCTCCCTGCTCAGCGGTGAGTCTGCTTCCCCCCCTCTCTCTGCCTGCCTCTCTGCCTACTTGTGATCTCTGTCAAATAAATAAATAAAAATCTTAAAAAAAAAAAAAAAAGAAAGAAAGTGTTTTTCAACCTCTGGTATAGAATAATGTTAGTCCAAGTGTGTTCTATGGAATAAAAGCATCAGCGTCACCTGAGAGCTTGTTAGAAATGCAGACTCTCACGCACCACCCAGACCCAGCCTAGAATCAAATGATTTAGGGGGTTAAACTTCCCACAAAGGAGAAGATCCGTAACTCGCTTAAACCAAATACCCTTCATCCGTTAGAGCTGGGTGCATTGCTGCCCAAACTAAACACAGGTTCTGGTAGGAGGGAAGAAGAAATAACCCATTTGCCCTTAGGGTCCATTCTCCTTCGGTTAACAGAATTTTAACATAGATAAACTGAGCCCCAAACGCCAAGAGTTTATATGTTAGCGTCAAGGGTAATGGAACAAGGGACGTCACTGGAGATAGGCAAACTTGGTTTGATGCACGCACCTTAGACAAATCCTTTTACCTCCCTGAACTTTGGGTTTCTTAAATGTAAAATAAGGACACTAGTTTCAGACATAAGGTTTGTATCACATGGGATCAATGCAGTACCAAGTAATGGAATAGCCTGCAAAAACAGACAAATTATGGTCTCCCAAACGTGAAATCTGGAGGTCAGGAGTTAGAGACTGCATAGAAGGACTAACAGTGTCACCAAAGATTTAGCCTCTCTTGGGGCACCTGGGTGGCTCAGTCCGTTAAGTGTCTGCCTCTGGCTCAGGTCATGATCCTAGGGTCCTGGGAGAGAGTCACTGGGCTTCCTGCTCAGCGGGGAGTCTGCCTCTCTCTCTCCCTCTGCCGCTCCCCCTGCTTGTGCTCTCTCTCTCTCAAATAAATAAATAAAATCTTTTTTAAAAAATTCATCAAATGCAAGGATGGATAACCAGTGACCAGACCTCCTCTTAGAGGGGAAAGAGTGTGGAATTTTGAGGTCAGGACTTTGAGGTCATTCCATCACATATCAGCTGGGACACCTGATGCCCCAGGATCTCTTGGTTCTTATGGAGAAAATAAAATAATAATGCCTTCCTTGTAGAGTTATCTTGGTCTCGTAGTCAGAACTCTTCAGTCCACAGTACCTGGCATGTGGGCAGTGAAGAAACCTTTGAGAAACCGAGTCACCTGAAGTCTTAGCTCATATGGCAACATGAGTCTATTTCCAAGATCTCCAACTTTTGTTAGTAGGAAAGAAGAGAAAATAACCACCAATGCTTGAGTGAGCATTCTCCTTTGGTTACAGAATCTCTACGTTTATATCCCAAGCTCCGCATGGCCAGAGTATGGCTATTACTATCAAATCTGATAGCTTCTTACATTCACAACTTACTCAACTTGCAGCTTTGGAAATAACATATACCAGGGGAAAAAAATGTATGTCTCCTAAAACTCTGTATTCCATTTCTTCATTATTTTGGAAATTACCCTAGAAATTTAGGTCTTTAGATAAGTTTATTGACAGGAAGTTTTGTTAAAGCTGATAAGGCAAGGAAGGTTTTTTTGACCGTTTTAAATTTAGAATACAGGCACTTTCAAATTTGGAGACAAAAGAAGGGATAAAGGAAGAAAAGTTTGTTTTTAATATTCTGGCGCCCTTCACAGCAGATTCCGTTCTCCAATGACTGTTACTACTTCCGATATTTTAGGTTCTCTTTCCTTTTTGCCATCACATTAAAAAAAATAAATAAAAATGGGTACCTGGGTGGTTCAGTAGGTTAAGCGTCTTCCTTCCGCTCTGGTCTTGATCTCAGAGTCCTGGGATGGAGCCCAGCATCAGGTTCCCTGCTCAGTGAGGAGTCTGCTTGTCCCTCTCCCTCTCCCTCTGTGCTTTCTCTCTCAAATAAATAAATAAAAATCTTTAAAAAAAAAATAAAATGAAAAAATAAAAAGGCACTTTGGGAGCAGAAGGAAACATGGGGTTAAGTGCACTGGCTTGGGTCATCTAGATCAGGGATCTCCACATTTTTCATGAAAAGGAATTGATAGTAAATGTTTCAGGCTTTGCAGGGTATGGTGTCTTTGCCATTGTCGCTCAAGAGCAGTCACAGGTGATATACAATCAAATGAGCATGACTGTGTTCCAATAAAACTTTATTTACAAAAATAGGCATTGAACTGGATTCAGTCATCAGACTGTAATTGCCAAGGGTCCTTAAAGAATTCTATTCTGCCTCTACCATTTCCTAGTTGGGGGTTTGGCCCATTCTCCATTCATTTGCAAAATGGACATCAGAACTAGGCTACCTCATCTGGCTCCGAGGATAACAGGGATCAGTGTGTAACTTATTCCCTGTAAGAATTCTACAAATCTTACTTCTCATTAGTAGTAGTATTCTCTCATCTTATGGTAAAGAAGTTAGGAAGGGTCACACTCAACTGCACCAGGCAGCCTCAGGAAAAGGAGGCCATTGTCTGGGGAGTTTAACTTAACCCTACTTAGCTTTTGGCTAAAAATGTCTTTTCCCTCTTTCCTAAGCAAGTCCACTCAAGGGAGAATCCTGGGGGGAAAAGAGGAGCAGAAGGACCTAGGTGACCCAGACAGATTGGGCTCATGGGGAGAACGAGAATTCTACCCCGACTACGTCCTCCTTCTGTCCCAGGCTCATCTCCTTTCTGGTGGAAGACTCCTGTCCCCGACTTCACCCCACCTTGTCCTAAGGCTCAGGCTGTCCTGGGAAGTGCCTCTGAAGCTACTTTCCTCACATACAGCCTAGCTCGCGGGAGCACCATGGCAAAACCAACATTTATTTACTCCATTCGACTACATCATCACAAAGGAAAAAGATCTTCTGGGATTTTGTTTTCCTTTTTTCTTTGGGACATTTTCCCAGCAATGTTACCTACTTGAGTTTTGAGGATCTCTGGCACCAGGCATTTGGCTTTGTCTCTCGTTTCTTTTGTGCTGATTGTCAAATGCCCACATATTATTTACACCTCCCTTTCTCTCTGGGGCTTCTAATCCCTCCCTTTCTTATTACTAGCATTTCTTCCTGGACCTCGCCTCCTTTTTTCTAATCAGCAGGAGAGCTCCATGAGCCTCCAGATAAACAGCAAACAAGATTGTGAATTTCAATGACAAATACAGCAGGCGCTCTATTTCCCGGGCCCCACGTAATTTTTAACTTGGGGATGGTAACTTCTTCGGTTTTCCTGCTCTGAACCTTGGCAGGCCTGGTTCCTCTTTCATTTTGGCCTTGTCGCATCTCTTCCTGAATTAAATGTTTCAATTAGATTGCTTGTTATAAGGCGCAGGGAGCTGCCTTCCTCTTCAACTCAAATTTCCTTCTTCCCAGGCGTAACAGAAATTTGCTGTACACACTGCAAGACAAAGAACAAAAAGACCTCACTGGCTGAGCAAAAAGATTCGGTTGTATACATGATTTCACCAGGTTTCCAAC